GATCTTAGGATGAGGATTTATGCGCGTCCCTGGTGGATGGATTTTGCCTCCGATGTCATTCTCTGTTACTTGCAGATATTTCCTATGTTGTTTTGTTGCACGATACCACTTTGTTTTTCAGTTGATTTACCTTGAATATACTACAATTTCATCCATTTGTACATTCGATACATCATCGTAGTTAAGTTTCGCTGCCCGTGCATTTAGAGATGATAAATGTAATGAACTGGATTAATATTCGCTAAAAACGAAATAGACCTACACAAGGGGTCTACGGAGTAGTTTCACAATAAGTGGTGCTCTAGTCCAACGCAGCACAAAAGACCACGGACTGGAGCCTAAGGCCACGCACCAGCGCGACTCCGGAGAATTGTTGATCACCACCACCAGCGCAACCCCCAACTTCCAGCCAGACCAACATACTCCCAAACCAGCCTCTACCCAGATATACAATCCAACGCAAAGGCATGCGATAATCGATTTCTCCTCCAACCAACACACAGAAGACACAACAACCTCAGCAAAAGCCGCCACCACAACAACAACACAATGACACTCCTACCACCACCAACAACGTCAACAGTACGCTCTTTCCCCTCCCCCTCTCCCCTCACACCAACCAACCAACAAAAATTTTAACGACAACAACAATCTAATACCAATAATGAACAGACCCAAATCCCCCAACATGTAACCGCCCTCCTTTCGCACCTCACCTCCCGCTCCGGCGTCCAATCTACCTTCATTCTCTCCCGCAAAGACGGCTCCATAATCCAGAGTACCGGGCTGTATGCGAAACCACCACCTCCTTCTCCCCCAAGTGCAGCAGCTGCTGCGGCGCAGCAATCACCGCGCAACGAGTCCATCTCCGCACCTATCCCTACCGCTGTAGACGGAACCGAGGCCGACACTGAGCCGCAGACTGAAAATGAAGCCGGAGCTGAGCCCGCACCTACCGAGACGGAAGCTACCCCACCCCCGTCTACGAAACAGCCACAACAACAACCGAAAGAAGAAGCGGTAACACAACCATATCAGCCTTCGCAGGGTGAAGCTCTAGCGGCGCATATCTTTGCGTTTGTGGCCAGTGCGTCGGAACTTAGTCTTGCGCTGTCCGGGGCGGAGGATGATGCGGATGGGGATGGGGTTGTTAGACAGGTGGATGGAGGAGTGGCTGGAGATGGAGGAAGCGCTTCTGGCGCTGGTGCTGGTGGCGCTGGGGAGAAGGAAGAGGGCGATGATGAGGTCAAGTTGTTGAGGTTGAGGACGAAGAGGCATGAGATTGTGGTCGTGCCGGATAGGAAGTTCTTGCTTTGTGTGGTGCATGATGCGCATCATGGGGGTGTTGGGGCGGGTGGGAGTGGAGGTGCTGCTGGGGGGCGAAGGTAATTGGTGATACTGTGATACCAGGTAGTATTCATAGTTTGGTTTGGGGTTGGTTAATGGATGTTGGTAGGGGGTGGTTGTGGTGATGGATAGGTGGATATACCCGGAGTGTTTTTGCGTGTGTCTTAGGGTTAGTGATGGTGGTTGTGGTTTACTTCTTTGTGTATGTTGTTGAATGTATTGGTTTAATCCGTGATTCTGTTCATGCAGCGGTACTTCACTCGTGACGAGGTTCTCGAGCTGAGTTTAGTTTGATAGAATCGATTCTTGCGGGAATGATACGGAAGTGAAGGGCTTCCTGGTCGTCACGGCGCTGTGATAGTGAACGACTAAGCAGGATAGCAGTGACGAGTCAGCAATTACGATGAATTATATACGTTAATACGGTAGCATTAGGATGTGAATCCCGCTGCCTGATCAACATGAACTTCACGTTTCAACACGTACTTCACGTCAACACTTCACATTCCCGCATCAGCGTCACTGCCTCTCAAGCGGACATAAAAAGCCTCTTCTCTCTCTCCTCTTCTCCTTCCCAATCCTTCCCAGAGCATCATCCAGGCCTCGTGCTTCCTATCTACATATAATATTCTCTTGTTATATAAACTTCTCATCAGATACTCAATCAGGCATCACATCCATCCTGACAATCAGCTACCCGTCTCAACTCCAGAAACATTACATACTGCTCGGCTGCCTTGCAGCTGAATACTGTCTTGTGGCTCTGGCATACTCAGCACAGAAGCTTTCTAAGAAATCCTGACACTGTCGACAGTGGTATATAAGACTGGTAACAAACCACGTCACTCACGATTCAACGTCTCTCTTTATAACACTTTAAGGTCCGCACGTTATCAGAGTTGCCATCCGGGACCTGGAAAAGAAGCCGCTTCTTTACGGCACTCACATAATGAACTGGCAGAAGCTGCCACGCAAGACGTGTTACAAAAAGCATAGAGTCTTCAAGCAGCGCCTTGAAACTGGGATACTTATTTCATGTCTTGTTGCTATAGGCAGGTATACTGGCGTCCTACGGTCGCTCCTGCGGGACGTGCACGACGCGATATTTGGGATGAAAAAATCTGGTATGATTGAGATGCGGTTCCCAATGATATTGAAGCTGGCGCAATGAAGACAGCTACGCATACACCAATAGAAAAGGGTGCCATCTCCCACTCGATGATTCAGTGCACTGGCTCTGAGAGAAAATAACAGGCAATAGGCTGTCTGCGAGTATAAGAAAGCTCTCGACTCCAATCAAGGCCCAGTGCAGTTTGTTTGTAAGAAAGGATCGCTTCGGGACCCGATGATCGCACGAGCCTAAGTACGGCCACCTACGTGCTGAAAACCCTTTATATGGTGTCGACTGGCCCTTATTATATCACATAGGGAACGGCTTCGGATACATAGAAAAAGACGGGCTGGCTGAGAGGCCAAAGAGCTAGAGCCATGATCATGGAAATACCCATGTCGTTTCTGGGAAGATTGTACCGAAACTCCAGATTTAACATATAATGCTGGGATTTGTACGTACAAGTCATCGGTGTAGTCACTGCTCGGTAGCGTGGTCACCGTTCTAAATAAAGGGAACGGGCTTTGACACAGGACCTCGTGATGTCTCTTCAGAAGACTCGATATGAAGCCTTGGAATGTGTCAATCTTGAGCCTGTGTGTCACCGACGCCCTTATGACACTGGGCCTATAAACTAAGAAATGCCGGAAGCACGCCGCCCTTTGCTGGGTGATGAAGTCTGTCATAGTACGAGACGAAAGACGAGGATGCAGGACAATGGTAAGACTACATTTGATATGCCCTGTTTTCTATGGAGCTAACGATTTCTTCGACAGGCTTTCGAATATATACCTGTTGCTCGATCGATCGAAATTGGAGAATTAGAGAGCATGCCTGCGGTCAGCTTACATCGAAAGCACAAGTTTTCAAACTCGAAACTCAGGTCCTTGTTCAGAACTTTGACTGGAATGGTAAAGAAGCCAGGATTGGCCTACAATTGACTCGAGAATCACATGGTTCGTGGGCTCCTGCTGCTAGTCGTTCATACGAAGGCAGAAGCCGGCAGCGGACAATTCGTTGGGCCAGTGTGCACGAAAATAACCGGCTCGTGGAACATTCCGTCTTCTCAATATAACAGTCTCCAATAGCTATTGCTTGCGGGTACGAGGGACTGTCATAAAATTCTCGATATCTCCCTAACTGCCCCCCTGCTTTGCAGTTCACCGGATCATGGAACCACACCCAGAAAGGTGGCCCCCAGCGACCTTGGCCTTGCCCGTATTGGGCCATGAACATGACTGTAGCTGGCCATTCTTCGTCTCAAACGCGGGAGCCCGGGTCCATATAGCTCATTATGAGGTGGAGGCGAAGCTACGACTGGGTACGGATTCGCTCATTTTGCAGAGTGATCTCGATGGGGCGATCGCGCGATGGCCACCTACTACTCTCTTTCTATATTTGCTCACAGCCTCGGAATGATGAACCTGAATCATGGTCCTACCACGGAGTCTTGCCACCTCTAAGCACATCAATTGAGTCCGGTCAGCCGGTCCAATCTGGGCCATAATAATAGGAGTGAGGTCAATAATGATGGTGTATTGAAGAACAAGTAACTTCCTCAACTTCATGACGAATGAATCATGGAGCAGTTCTGTGAGCTGAAACATCAGAAACTCTGGAACCAGTCGTGCCTCGTCATCCCTGGTTGTCATTATTGCATCTTCACTATATCTTCTGTCTTCCACGGCCAACGCTTCGCCTAGGTCTCTCTTGCATGCACTTTAACATTTGAGACGACATACTTCTTGCCAGTATACGTCTGTGTTGGGGGATGGTCGAATCTTCTTGACACATCTCATTGCATGTTACGCCTGGACAAGTTTATCTCCTCGCGGACTCGCTAGCTGGCCCTACCCAGGCACAGAAACCTTCATGAGTGAGGTAGAGGAAAGATGAGCCTCGTATATAGTGTGAACGCTTCTCAACTTATGGGAGGGCTCCATTATTCTTAACCTGGAAGCTACGTCAGACGCGCCAACTCACATGGAGAACTCAGCGACATCTTAGCTGTCATAAAGAAAGATTGACCGCCGAACAGTGTCAACATAATCCAAAAGCAGAGACGACAGTGGCATTTACTATAACACGAACGTTTACCACGAATACCATGCTTCTGTCTCATGAATACATACATGTGGAGGGAAAAGGTATATCAACTGATCTCGGTAACCATGTCGTTCCAATGGCCTACTATGGGTGCTTAGCGCAATCGACGAGGAAGAAGATACCCTCACTTGCCGCGTCTCGATCTTCAAGATGAAAGAAATCACCCAGAACAATCCAAGATACCGCTCGATCTGAGCGTGCAATATCATTCCAATGGCATATATAAAATGGAAGACAACAACAGGAGACATGAAGGGATGGCTGTTGGAGTCTGTTCGACCCATTCTACTGGCTCTTACTGGAAAACACAAGCTACGGTCGCGGCCAAACGTGGACTTCATGACGATGGCCTACGATGCCCTTCTTCGGCCGAACTTCATGCTCGGAATAACTGCAATGGGCTGATAAAGCTCCTAACGAAGGAATACACCGTGGTTTTGGAACGAGGAACGCAAAGTCTAATTAGCCTTGAAAGGTTCATTGCTCCAGGGTGTACAACTGCGGACACAGCCTCATGGGAGAGCGTATCCCTCATGGGAGAGCGGATACGAGCGAAGGCAGACAGGGCCAAGGAACGTTGACATCCTCACAACATTGAATATTACATCCTGCCCCTGATGGGGTGATTTGCTGCTACGAAATGAAGCGAGAAGCAATCGCACTCGACACTTCCGGGGATCGTGGACCTTCTCAAACGGTGGTCGCGCGGCATTTTCCATAAGAGAGCAGCAACCCCAAACAATATATAGACGATGTCTAGCAAGCCACATGTGTTTGCTTCCAATATTCGATGGAATACAGAGAAACGAGACAGCCGAAGAGCGTTCGCGGAAGTGAGACGATACATTAACGGCCATCGCAGTGTGAAACTATCAATCGGGGTGCCAAACTCAAAGGCACACGCTTCGCGGTTCTTCAACATTCGCTTGTTCGATGCGGACAAGACAAGGTGCTGACTATTGTTTGATTAAGTCATATGTTCCTCTTATGGCTGTATAACTACCTGTAGCCCAGTGGGTGCAGGCTTTACCCAACAGGAGACGGTTTCCGGTTTCCGACAAGTGACAACCAGCCTCCAGATAGACTGCTCGCGGCAGATGACGATGCCACATTACACAGAGACCAATGTCCCAGCTATACTGGGCTTCGATGGAAATAAAACCGATTCTTCGGGTGCTTAAGGCACTTGAGATAGCCCAGGCGATAATCGGGCAGTATGGAATCCACACCATGCTGAAGCCCATTCCTTCTAAGGAATATTCAGAGAACCAGCGCGTTGTTCCATGGGGACATAATGAAGGGCCATTGAATGGAATCAGGAAGTTTTGAAGACTGTCAATGGATAATGGCAAAGTTAGGCAAGGCTTTAGCCAACTTTGTGTCCTCGCATAAGTGCCATCACTAGAATTGGTCTTCAAACTACCCATGGTCAACCGAGTTACGGGCCTTTCTGCCCTATGGCTCCGTACAGAGACCCGCGTAGGTACGTGGCATGCTGCGTGCTCCTGGGCGACTTCCACTCCGGAGCAGAATAACAGACTATCCATGGACACAAAAGGTCAGACTTCCTGCTACGATCTATATAGCATTGATACGCTCCGCTACTTTGAATGGGCCAATATAGAGAAAGGACCCCATGGTTACGTGGCTATGCTGCGTGCTTCTGAGGCGGCTTCTACTCCCCAGCAGATCACGGTTGCTGTTCAGCCCAGTGTCTAACGAGACTGGCGTATCTGATCTTAATGGCAGATAGACAATCGACAAAACCATCTGGTTCACCGATCTGATCCAGGTTTCGGTGTGTCTACAACTGTCGAGGGCCGCACAATCGATGACATCTGGTCAACCGTTCCCGAGTCCAGGACTGGCCGCCAGATTTACCCTGTTCAGTCTCAGTAACCCAATCCTTGATTGGTCGTTGACTTGTCAATGTGGCGTGGCACAAAAAGTCAATTTCCTGCTACGATTACCTATTTAGCAGTGATATGCATTCGCAGAAGAGAGACCGTGATATGTGGCTACGCTTCGTGCTCCGGGAACATCCACTTCAGAGGCGGCTTGCGGTTTGCCTCACGCACAAGCAATCCAAAGACATATAAGAGTCTACTTACCTGCTACAGTCCAGCCGCTGTTGATGTTGAAATGAGAACGCTCCATAAATCATGCCAGGAATATCGCCGTTGAAAATCCAAATGAAGGTGATGAACGGCAATCATCAGAATCAAACCAATATCGGCTATAACATTTCACTGGTCAGGGCTTTGGAGAGAATCAAAGGCGCTGTTTCATATAAGAAAGGTACGAAGGGTCTGCTGTAGGCAGGCTTTGCTTCTATTAGGGCCTACGAGCGACCAATATACCATGATCGAGCAATTTCAACACTACGAGACCGGGACTCGAATTACGGGTACGAACAGTACACATGCTCCGGGGTTATAGCTTGTGGGACGATCAAGACGTCCTTCTTTTCGAACTCCTCTTGGTGTGTCTGGCAATCCAAACATTTCGATTTTATCCTGAATCTGCTCTTGTTGTCTTTGTTAACTTGCCCGCCAAGAAAAGGAGTCCTGTGCGCTGCGAGATGCTGTTGCATGTCCTCCGGGTGACAATTTTCGTTATTTGCAGTACCATCTCCGCTTATTATCGTGCATGTATACGGGCACATTTTCGGTACTCTTTCTTGCTCCAACTCAGCTCAGGGTGGCAAGAAGCAAGCTGCGTACGCCAGTTGAAACAGCGATGCGCTATTGCTCGATGGAGAATGCCATGATGGGTTGGGCAAGGAACATGAAACTGTCTTCCTGACTCCGTCACTTGCTGGTTATCCCTTCTAAGCGGTCCGAAGAATCAGCCAAACCAGCTGATATGCAGAAACAGCCTGCGATATAAAAAGATATAAACACCAACGATGCAGACGCCTCCTAAATCTGCTACTGTCATTTGACTAGAAGAACCAGACAAAGTAACCGCGTCGCGCTAAATACCTACTGGCTCTACAGACGATGCAGGTTGCCCAAGCTAGCAACGAGTTATATCATACTATACCAAAACCATACAATTGCTCGACACATTCCTTGGAACTAACAAGATGGTGCAACATGCGTGGCTGACGCTTTGTCAAGTTATTACAAATATATCTCTTCCTTCTGTCTTCAAATCATCAATCTGCTTGGTTAACATGAGACACCAGTCAAGGGCAGTTTAAACGACCCATCGAGACAACGAAGACAACATCGAATTCAGTTCCTGGTGGTCTATGGTTATATTCCGTGACATACTAGGAAGGAATCAGAATCAGCCATCGCTTCCTTCCAATGACGATAGTAGATACATCTCTTGCCCGAAGATGAATACCAATAAAAGAGAAACAAGTCAAGAACAGTTCCAATGATCTACCAGACACCGAGACAAACCTTTGTTCTTACACCCTGATGGATCTTCGGCTTTTCTACTGGTACCAGTAACGGTACCAGTAACAACCTATCTGAAGGATCATGTCTTCCAATGGCTTCCTCTCAACCACAATGCCGAATATCTCTTGCTCGAAGGCGATAATAAACAAAAGAACCCAACCAAGGGCAGTTGAATGGCCCATCTAGACACTGAGGAAAACCTCGACTTCAATTGCTGATGGATCTCTGACTTATCTACTGGGGAAGACCAGTAACAACCAGTTAGGAAATACCTTCCAAGCAATCTGCAAACTACGTCTTTGGTCCGAAAGAGGATACTCTAGCCCACACGAAGTCCGGTGTGGCCTCTTCGTACTTCCCATGATCATGCGTCTACTTTCTCTACGCCGCCGCGTCGGACAGCTTACCGACTACGGCCGTATTGGCGAAGACCCCCCGGTGTCCGGTACATGACCATTGACCTCAAGTTTCCTCGCCGCACGTTCCAAGCCCACAACTGACGCTTTATCGAGATGACTGCGAAGATGGCTAAGCCCGCTTCATTATCTGGGTTTGGGTTTGGTTCCGTTGCCCCCTTCTTCCAAGTCGAGTCGGTCAGCAAATAACCCCCCTTACTGGACTGGTACACTGAGCACGCTGCTTACAGAAGGTGGTGAAGTGTTGCTGGTCAAGCTCTTTCCAACACTGATGGATATTGCCCGGGTAAATCTGGATGAGCTTCTGTCAGTTAGAGGCGCAGTTGGATCTCTTTGCACAGTCAATGCTTGGATGGCCTGGATAATCCTGCCGATGACAGGCGCTGCTCGAGCTCATAGCTCGGATGGTTCTGGGAAGTGGTCTGGAATTGAACCATTCACTAGATTGATTTGTTTCTATGGAAGCTGACGTGACGCTGGTCGGACTCCTTTCCAGTCACAGGCATTGCCTGGGCACAATGGTCTGTCTTCTACTCAACCGCCGAACTCAGATGCTGCTTGAACGCTCTGCTGAATGGCTTTGGAGAATTGTTGTTGATGGGCGAGATGCAGCTTAATGAAAGGTATGAGAGGGTGGGAGGGAGCACATTGATAAGGAAATTGTGATGATGGTACAATACGTATGTGCGTGCTACACTGGTTTGATGTCCAAGAGACACTCGTTGCTCTGGAGAATTGTCTGTGCCGGTTGAAGTGATGTCGAAGGGGTGTGTGCTAATTGCCGGAATGTGTCAAACGACGGACTATGTGGTGACTTTGATTAAATGATATACAGGTCACTGTGTTCATAGTACTAGTGGCGGCATCAAGACACATTCACATCCTTGTCCATATCTCAAAGCAGATATCAATCAATCAATCAATCAATCAATCATCTCCATACCATCCATAATCCATTCTCATACCATCCATAATCCATTCTCGTAGCTCATATGTTCACCATCACCATCATCAATCATCATCCGTGATCCTTCCTCGTAATTCATACCATCATCCTCATCACCACCCTCACCCCGAGCACTTATAATCCACACCAATCCCTATACATAACTAACAAATTACTCCTTCTCCCCAGGCAACCTCACATCCCCCCACCCTCTCCCACTCCCATCCCCAAATCCACCCCCACCGCCACCACTCCCCCACTGCGTGATCCCCTTCCACTCACTAACATTCAACCACCCAATCCTCTGCAACCCCCCAAACCCTCCAATCCAATAAACCTGTTCCACCCTCAACCTTGCCCAATAACTACTATGCGGCGCGCCCTCCTTTCCAGGCAACCAGGCCTCAGCATCAGGATGCTTCTCCAGGAAACACTTCGTCAACGCGCTCTCCACCGCCTCGGGCACAGGCGTCTCGAACGGCTCGACATACCCGAACAGCGTGACGCGGGGTAATCCGGCCTCGCTGAGCGGGAACCCGGGCCACACGGGGGTGGTATCGTTGACGTGGTCCCACCAGTCGAGCGAGAGCGAGATGTTGGATCCCGCGGCGGTGTTGCGGAAGGTGGTGGCCACGTGCAGGGCCAGGAAGGTCGGGTTGCCGAGCCCACGGGGGGATTCGGAGGAGGTGTCGTTGGCGGGGAGGTAGGGGTCGCAGTCGGCCAGGTATTCGGTTTGGGTTGTGGAGTGGCCTGCCAGGGAGGGGGGCGTGTGGGAGTTGGGGGGCAGTGGGGAGGGGAAGATGGTGGAGGCGGTGCCGGTGCGGGAGAGGGCGAGGAGGCGCCGCGCCAGGAGGGTCGAGGTGAACCAGGATGGTGGGGCGAAGTCGGTGTTGAGGTTGGAGGAGGAGGGGATGAGGGTGTCGGTGTCGGTGTCGGTTTTGGTGTCGAGGTTGTAGTTGGTGATTGTGTCGGTGAGAGGAGCCTGTTCGGCTAGAGGGCTGGCACCGACGTGGAGGAGGAGATAGGTTAGGAGGACGAGTGCGGAGAAGAAGGTGGTGATGAGTGGACGGGCCATCATCGTGGTGTTGTAGATGGGTGCCCTATGTATGAGAAGGTAGAGAAGCTGCGTCGATGAGAGAAATGGATAAGAAGATAAGGAAAAGGAAAAGAGATGGCAGAAGGGATAAAGGGAGGTAGCTACCAGCAAGGGAAGTGGTGTCACCGTGAGGGGAAGGTCACGATCTGATCTTATCTGATGGACGCTAGACTGTTTCCGGTTTAGTTGGCCCCATGTGACTCTTAACGGTCGGACAGGTGACTTTCCGGTCGCATCCGGTGATTCCGACCTTGTCCGACATCGGCGCCTGCCTGAGGCCACGGTGTGACTCACCGGGGAAACGCCCCGACCGTACGGAGTAGGGTTCTATCCAAAGTAACCGGCTGACCACCACTTCTGCCATCATAGTTGCGGTGAGTCATAGTGGCGCGAGTTGATCACCGAAGTGCCCCCGTCCGGATGCACAGACTCCGTTCACGGACGAGGCTGGCCTTATGTTCTACAATGTACCCATGGAAAGTGGGGTGATCAGACACAATACAGTCACGGAACATAGATCTCTCACAACATCTTCGTATTGCTTATCCTCTTTACAGAGGATGAGTGTCCTAATAATCGAGCAGAATCCTTCGTTTGCCAGTAAACTCCGCAGTAATAGTATAATGCGTTCCCTCGCCCTTCGCAACCCATGTAGTCAGATGTCAAGAATAATGCAGGCGAAAACAAGTGAAAGAAGTAGACCCGACCGTTCCCACCACACTCCGGTGCCGCGATGACAGACAGAAATGAATAACGATAGATATGGCAAATGTGCACAGAAAAATAGTCAAAAGATAGCAACAAACCTCCCCAACGTACATCATACACCAGCAGTCTGCCAATAGCAGTACCACTGTACAAGTAGCCTCCCCAAATCAACAACAGCTGCAGGGTATATACAAAGACGACTTTTGCTTTCCCCAAACGCGTGAATCACCTGAGAAAGTTCGCACAAAACTTTTCCCTACCGGTCTGCGTCTCTTCCGCTGCTGTTGCAACCGGACCAGATTTGGTCAGAATAGAATTATGGGTATGAAAGTAAACACTTTTCCGCAAAGAAAAGGAAATGGTAAATGAATGAGGTCCAGATATTCTGGGAGACCTAGTAATCTGCCCGCATGCTTGGGTTGAGCGCAATCTTCCTGGCTTCGCTGCCGCAGCAAGCACGCTTCATGCCAACGGGGCCTGAGAGCGGAACGTTGTAGTTCAATGCACTCAGTTGAGAGGCGGTGAGAGATTGCGAGCGGCGGGACTCGGAGTTCAGGAACAGATCCGCCATGTTGCCATCAGGTAGTACAGTGCCTTCAGCAAAGGTATTGGACTTGACGAGATGACGGACTTGACCGTGCAGCATGTCCTCGGATCCGGTGCGGCCGCGTTTACGGCACACACGCTGGCCAGCGTTCTGTTGCTCGATCGTTTGCTGAGCGCGAGGGACAGCACCAGAAAGAGCACAAAGACTCTGTGCTGCCTCATGAGCTGAAGAAAGATCAACCGGAGGCTCCAGCGAGTAGCCGGACAAATCCGGAACCTGGCCAAGATGACCGCCATAGGTCTCGGGCGAGCTATAGATGTCTCCGAGCGCGCCCTCGTCGATGGGCGATGCGATGGCCAGATTCTTGCGGCACTCCTTGAGGGAGTTGCCAGTGCATCGGAGCGTCGCCTGGACGGCCAGGCGAGGCACAGCAGACACACCGGTCGAAGAGCTGGAGGACATGGATGATGATCGCGATGACTGCGACGACATGCTTGACACATCCGAAATCATCGAATCCGGAGATGACGCAGAGGAAGCCGAGCGGGCCAGAGAGGACCGGCGCACCAAGTTGGGGTAACCATCAAACGTGTTAGCCCGAGGGCAAAACTGCAGTGACGGGCGCTGGTCGTAGATCGACCGCGCCGTGCACATGTTCTGCGCCTGGGACATAGCAGTCTGCATGTATCGGCGGTGCGCAGGGATACCGCCAGCACTCACTGCAGGAGTGGAGGCGATGCTCGACTGAGGAGTCATCTGCGGTGTGGGCAACATGGCCGGTCGTGGCATGGGCGGCAGTGACGGAAGAGAGGGAAGTGCAGTCTCTTTACGAGTCACCGACTCCAACGCTTGACGCCCGCATGCCGCGATTTGCTCGTGAATGGAGGGCAGGTTGACGGGCTCGTTCGTTGCTTGGCTGGGAAGATCCCTTTTGAACGATGTGCCGCGAGGAGATGGCGAGTCCGACACCGAGCGGGAGCCAAGAGACTGCATGTTAGGTGTCGCGGGGCTGACGTCAAATTCCTCCAAGTCAGGGGTGAGCTTCGGGATGATTGTACGCCAACAGTGCCCGTCCCCAAAAGCCATACTACCAGCGCCGGGAGTGTACTTCAGCACAATATCAGTCCACCGCTGGAAAAGAGCCTCGGGAATATGGAGTCGCCAGTTAACCGCTTCCAGAAACATCAATTCGTTCTGGTTGATCTCCGCCGTGTTCAGGCCGGAAATCTTACTCCAAGCGCGAGCAGAATAGTTGCGATCTTGGAGATACTTGGATGCGAGGATGAGCGCTGCAAGAAACATGCGCCGCCCACACTGCATAGCCCGACAAACGGGCTTGCCCCGGGCCTGGTCCTGAGTCACGTCATGGCTCGGCACGTGGGGCTTGATCTTGATGAGGTAGTATAGCGCCACCTGAAGGGTGCTATAGCTGGTGCGGGAGCGGCGGAGTGTCTCCTGGATGAATGTTCGCAAAGGCAAGACGCCTTTGCATCCAGTCGCCGAATCACTCCGCAGCGAAACAGCCGACAAGGGCCAAATGACCTCAACAATCTGCGACGCGGTGTCTTCACGGTGTACTTAGTTCTGAACCACAACCACATCATAATAAACGGACAGCTCCCCAGACTTACCGACAAGATTATCGACAAAGTTGACCTTCCGTTCCGATTGTCTCAAAAGACACGGCGGAGGCCGCGTGCATGAACTGTTGGTCCGCCGCGGATGCTTACGTAACTCGGGCGGAATAGCAGGATCAGTTGCCTTCGGGACCACGCCCCTTAAGTAACCGCGCGCACCGTTTGCAGCAGCAAGTGCTCTTCCTCCAGCCTGGTATTCGCCTTCATTCTCCCAGATCACATCAACCGGGTTCGTTGAGGTGGAGGAGATCGAACTCTGAGTGGACAGGCCATCTAGCGAGAAGACCGAAGAGGACGAGGAAGAGGCGGAGGAAGAGACCGAGGATGCATACGGGTGCGCATAAGCCGTTCGGATTTGGCTGTTCGGGTTTGGATCCTTCAAACCCAAAATGTCAATCCCTGACATATCCGGGATGATGTCCAGTCGAGCGACCTTGATACTTTTTGACAATAAAAAAAAGAAAAGGTCCGGAAGTACCTTAAATGGTCATCCAGAGGGCTAACAAACTTGAGCTAGCCTTCCTTCTATGCGTCGGATATGACACGAGACTGTAAATTTAAACCGTGTGTTTTTTTCAATAAACCGTTGTGCGTGAACCGTGAACGTGTAGCCGATAAGACAAGGAACCGTCTTTTTGATCGCAGGCGACGGCAGACCCTTAAGAGAGAAAATTCGCCAGGTTGTCGGAAATATAGTTATGGTATAGTAGGACAGATTAGGCAAGCGAGAGAACAACAATCATCTAGCACGGTGATCGTGATATAAAGTGATGCTGTTGGGTTGAGGTCGGGCGGTAGGTGTGGGTATGAGGAAGATGCCGGTGAAGTAGTGGTACGTGTCAAGGAATCGGGAAAAGAAGAAGGGATTTACCGTCTAATGTTCCGATCACCAGTTGGAGAGTCCCGAATAGATCAAGCCGAATATCGCGTAACCAGAGAAGACACGTAAGATAATGTCAACGTGACCCTCTAGAATGACAGATGCTGGAAGCTATTTAAACAAACGCAGCGGTCTTGCCGGAGGTTCGGAGATCTGAGGAGTCTGCAACACGGGTGATCGGAACAGAAGACTTGATAACAACAGGGTACATTTTGAGATGCGCAGGCGCTGGAGGTTATATCACGAGCCGATAGAGCGGCGGACTGTTAACAAGCAGGCGAGATAACCGGCGCTTGTCCAGGCAGTCAGCAGTCGTATCGGAGGCAGAAGACAACAGTTGGTGAGGCTCAAGGAAGACTGGAAGGCGAAGAAGGAACGAGTCAGCAACGATCTTATGAGTATCTCTCCACTTTAGCGCTCGTCTATGACTCTTACTTCCGGATCTCACGGTGAGGGTCCAAGAGTCCGGTGACTATACGGGGGGCGGAGCAATAGACAATGACTAACTGGGGTGGCGGCCAGACTAAATCACAGGCAGAGATGGCAACCTGAAGCTAGCCGGAGGCGAGTGGAACGACGCAGCAAAGAGTCAAACAGACAAGAGAGAGAAAAGGGAATGAAATTACTTACGCAGCAGCCAGTGGCGAGAGTGGCGGAACTGGTCTTGAGACTCTTGGGCGGATGCAGGGACCACGCTTCGTCTTTCACAAAGCGGGCGAAAAAGGGTGAGCGGAGAGGCAACGGGAAGAGCAGAAGAGCCAAACAGACAACTGAACAGGAACCAAGTACAAAGTAAGTAAAGCAAGACAACAAGGAAACTAGAATGACTCTACACTCTCAGTCACACTTCCTTTTCTAGTGAAAGAAAGAAAGAAGATGACAAGTGTGAAGGGGAGGAAGAGAAGAGGGGAGGGAGGATATCAGTGAGTGAAGGGCGAGAGAGGGAAGAGATGGCAAGTAAGAGTCAAGTCAAGTCCAGTCAGTCAATCAGCCCTGCTGGCAGAGGAGAGGGAGGAGGGCCCGGAGTAAGTAAAGTAGAAGGGGAAGGCAGACGATGATCGGAACCAGGACGGGAGCGGATGGAGTGGAGGAACGATGACTCTTCACGCCCGTCCGAGATAGGGACTGCCCACTACTGGACAACTTCTGGGGCCCGGGTTGGGCATGGAGGCTTTTCGGTTTGGTTTTGGTTTTGGTTTTAGTTTTGATTTTGGTTCTGGCTCTCTGGCTCTGACTCTTGACTCTGGTTCCTTTCCACACCTGGTTTTCGCCTCTCAGCATTCCCATTATTCATGAGTATTCACCTTATAGCCCTGGAGGCAAAATTCCTACTCTCTCTCACTTATTTTCGCTTCCCACACCCATGGTCATCGGGAGTCTGCCGACCCTGAGCTTACACTTCAGCCTACTTCTCAAGATTTCGTATCCCATGTCATTTTTTCATGGTCCTACAAACAACACAGCGCCGGCACTTTTCTTGCGTTTTCTTTCTCACGTCGCATGACTAAGATTCCAAATCCACCCCGATCCGATTCCAGTTATGGTCATTACCGAAGCCGTCCCAAAGCGTATCGATATAGATATTGTCATTGTAGATAGATAATGCGACGTCGCAGACACCGATAACACTATTCGATCTCGTAGTCTGATAAGGGGGGCTCGTCTTTTCCCTCCGCGCGACTATCGCACAGCCGACTTGGGTACTAGACTATCTGTGGTCTATCGCCTAGAGACAGCGCATTTAGGTGCTTATGACAGTGACAGTGGCTGTTGTCCTACATGGTTGTCAACCCTGGCTGTGAAAGAGATACATGATAGAGCAAACCCAGCACGGGCAGCTGCTTGACGTACGCAGCTGAAGTTGTACTGCAAGGCAGGCCCGCCCGTTCCATCTGCTAGGTATGGAGGTGTTGACGTCTGTATCATCCCAGAATAAGCATAATCCAATAGACGATGCGATGAAACCGGGCTGTCATGGATCTTAGTTAAGTAAAAAAAGAAGAAAAAAAAAAAAAAAAAAAAAAAAAAAAAAAAAGGGATGTTATGTACGGAGGGATGTATGTAGGTTGGTCCATAAGCACCGGCCCCAAGTGTAACATAAAATGAACGATCCCTTCTCATTGGGAGGGAGAGGCCTGCCGCTTCCGTCAATGGCCCAGCGAAAATTGGTGGTGGTCAGCCAACCACCGCGGACGGATTTGCCAGCCACGCCACCACCGTCAGAAATGGGGGAGGGAAAAGGAAAAAAGCTCTGCTGAGGCAGTGACACGTACATACATGGCGAAAAAAGGACTCGGGGAGAATCTCGTCCTCCTGCCTTAAAATTTTGTCGTCGTCATATTGGGGCGTTTAGCTACTATTCTTGTTTTCTGCCCAGACTTGCTGGAAAGGGGAAGGAGTTCTGGATGGGGCTGCTGAAACTGAAATGAACAAACACAGCCTGCTGGCTATGCATCACAACTAAACTTGTCTCCTTTTCTTAACCCGTCTCTTCTTTCTGTTCATCTTACATGGTCGCTTGAGAGAGAGTCTGGCGTTTGTGAATGAACATGACCTGATGCAGAGAGCACAAAAGTAACAGCGACCACGGGAGCGCTACTGTACCATATGATGGAGTCAGAAAGAACAACTGGCTGTGGAACCGCCCCCGGTCGCAGTAAGATTAGGTAACCAGGGTGGTGAGTCCAGGCAGCAAAGATGCAAAGGAAGAAAAACGAACCAGTGACAATGAAGCAACCATCGACAAGCGCCGTCTACTAGTTCGCCTACTTTGGACTTAATACGACTTAGTAGTAGCCTCCGCCTTTACTCCGTAGATGATGCTATATCCAACCAATCCTCTCGTTTCGCGGCCCATTGTATGATCATGAACAAAGCTACTACGGTTTACCTTTCCGGGGTAGTCTAAGGCTACGTACTCCTGGCCTAACTAACCACATCACGGTATGGACTAACAAGTAAGTCGTATCCACCTCGAAGACCCAGCAAACGTCCAGGGTCATGTTCGGAACTGTTGTGCAAGGGTTCTGTGTCAGTGTAAGCTGGGTAGAAGTCATACAGCCTTAACGGAGCAGATATTTACGGGGTACATCTTTTCATTGTGAGACAGTACTTAGTGGGCGATGATAAGTGCACGGCTAAGCCGGTGAGTGCATAGAATTAAGCCTGGATACATAAGCACTACATAATCACATCACATGATTCCGTTGTTTCTTCCACACCTGCCCCTTTGAGAAGGTCCAGGATAATCTCCCCCCCTATGCAAAATGGTTTAGAGTCATATGCAATAACTGACTAAAATAATGCACCCAGGGTTGGGTCACCAAGAACCCCAGGTTCAAACGGCGTCTGGCTTACAAAATAAGCTGGGTATCGACCTCAGTAGGCAGTGGAACTCTAAGAATAGGCAGACGACGATTGGCTAAGACAGCAGAGGATGGCCATATGATAGTCTGAGTATCAATCATCAAAGGGCTGGCTGGACTGCCAGGTGTGACAAATCTCATGACCTTCCCTACCCGCAGAACCCGTAGACTGAGTCATGGCGTGGGTGGCTGTGGGATAATCCGGCCACCCACGACGGAAGAAAGAGAAAAGAGTCCTTTTGCAGTCTCCAAAGTTCCAAAAAGGCCAGCCAAAGCCGAAGAGGGGTGGAGCCACACCGCCCAATGACGCGGGGTTGCCAGGCTGCCCGGTGAGTTTTTGTTGCCCACTTTGGCTTTGCTGGTTGGCCCGGCAGTCGCTGGGAGTCCCACCCTCCCGATTGATCCCGACTCGGGCTTGGTGGTTTGGTTGGAGAAGCATCCATCTGGCAGTCAGAATTACAACCACCATCTGTTCTATCTAGATAGTACCAGATACTTAGATGGTCAGAAGTGAGGAGTCACGGTTAGACAAGTCTCGACCGGACGGTGTCATCTGTTTAGGCTCAGACGGCATGTACGAGAGTTTAGCTCAGCCAAAAGCCTTGTCCGGCCATGTTTCAGGCTTTGGCGACAGCAGGAAAATATATTCTGTCAAACGGGTGCGAAGTTAATATCACCATCCCGGTCAGAACTGTAATACTATGAAAGTGAGATGCTATATTACTAGTACTAGTATGCTATCTGTAGCCTTGCAATAAGTACGCCAACCGATAAACCTTAGCAGAGGAAAAAACACTATCTGCAAACCAAGTCAAAAGTTCAAACAACTTGGCAGCCCGTCACAGAAAGTACCGCTACGCACGGAGTGTTTTTATACGGACCAACCGAAAGACTAAACTGGCAGCCCGCGACAACTACAACAAATCAGCGCAGACAACTTCTCTCCGGATCCCGCAGGATAGCAAATCCTTTTCGTAGAACTGTCTAAGGCTACGGATGAGGCAGCAAACAGCTCCGCCGTCTAGAACGGGATGGAAAGAACCTTACTGGCAACCCCTCTTTGGGGAACTCGCATGAAGGATGCAGGCTAATGCCGGCCCATGCGGGCGACAGGAGGTACTCCCCTTAAACGAGGTACCACGGGCCAGGATGCTGGATGAATGACTGGGTGCTTTGGTATCTTGTCCTGAAGGGTGGTGCTTTGAGCGAAGGATGAGGTCACACGATGTGAATGGAGAAAAAAAAGGCAAGGGAGGGTCGGAGATATGCCAGCCATCACGGGATTGCACAAACTCTGTATGAAAAGTACCGACAAAGCCACGAGGATCGACTCATCATGACTTTCGGTGGGAGAGGGGTCCAATCCAGTTGCAGTGAAAACTCAGCTAACAATATGCCGTAGACACGCTAGATGACTGTCCATTCAGATGGGGAGCTCTATTATGAGCGATATATACAACTACATCCGAGACAAGCTTTAGTGTCTGATTCGCATATCGCTATTGGACTGATGCAGCCTTCCGAGCATGCTATAGACGACCCACGGTAATCGTGGCACCATCTCATTTTCTACCAGCCCATACTTGTTCACAGAACGCCGTCAAATCATCAAGGTAATCCTGGGGCCTTTCCAGCGCTGCAAAATGTCCTCCCTGTGGGGTGTCAGCAGATGCCGCCAGCAGGACTTGGTAAAGCATACCTTCTCATGAGCCTGCCAGAACACCAGGTTTCCTGTTGTCTCAACCCAAGCGCGTGGGGTGGGTACAAGCTCCATCGGATAATATGAAAAGCCAAACGGCTTGCGAATGTACCATCGGGGGTCTTCGGCATGTCTCAGCTTGGGCGGCGGGAAGTTCTGGGATCAAGGTGAGTACGGGTACGAGAGCAGGTAGAGGCAGAATCGACATACCTCCCGATAGTGGTAGATAGACCGGGGGAAGGTCTCAGTAAACCAGTACAAAGTCACAGATTCTAGGATAGTCTCTAAGGGAATGGTTTCACCAGCCCAATCGAGGAACTTCTCTCCGATCCTGCATTTCGTCAGTCGATGAATGGATGTTGTATGAAGTACATACCAGGAGAGCAGAGCGACTGGACTTGTGGATAGCGCATTGCCAATAGTGCTGGGTCGAGTACCATGCTCGACAGCATAACCACTGCCAAAGGTAGCAAACCACTGTGCACGAGCCAGCGCGCGTTTGTCTTCCTCAGTAATAGCCGTGTCTGGTATGCTCGATGGCTTGCCCATATAGCAGGCATTCACTGATATATAATTAGATGACTTCTGCAACAGTATCAATACAATCAGCATGCTTACAATGCACGGCTTTGCAAGCATCATGATCAACTGCAAGTATGCGACCGATCTTTGACCCAATATCTCCGCCTTGTGCCACATAGCCATCCTCGAAACCGAGATTGAGCATCACCTTGTTGATGACGCGGGCTGTATCCTCGCCATTGAAGTTGACATCCAGCGGAGGACCGGACGAGAACGTAAATCCCGGAAGTGACGGGACCACTATATGGTATGGCAAGGTTTCAGGGCTATATTTGTCCCGGATTGAAGTCAGAACGGGGAGAAACTCGAGAAAACTGCCTGTTCTGTGTCAGTTGACTGGCTAAATAGAAAGGTCAATGTGAGCTTGCCTGGCCAGCCATGGAGGAGAACGATAGGGATTGCATCCTTCTTCTCAGAAAACAACGCCACAAAATGAATAGTCAGGCCCTCGATATCATAGGTGAACTGAGGGAAGCTGTTGATGCGGCTTTCCGCTGGGCGCCTATATTGTTTAGCTTTGCTGAGATCAGTCGATTATTTGATCTTACCAGTCAAAGCTCTTCCAAGCTTCCTTTGCATTGGCAAGCCATTCATTGGTTATGCCATATCTACGATCCTGCTGAAGGCCTTCGTATGTAGGAGGCGCGAGCTTCGACAGCTTGACCAATAGCTGTAGCTCCTCGATTTGCTCGTCTGAAATATGAACTTGAAAGGGGGATGGGATGACGGTCGCACCCAAGGGAATGTTGCTGTAAGCGAGTGCCATTGTGATATCAGAAGCTGTCAGACAGCAGATGTTGGGCAAAAGAAGAATCTACGAAGTGTTGTGAAGCAACAAGTGGGGTTACCTGCTGTTACATCACATGGTTTAGCTGGACTATTATAGCTAGAACGATTTTATCATCATGTCAGCAAATGTTTCGGTGTACCCAATAAGTTAGTATGCAACACCATGGATTCAACCAGGACAGTCACTAATTACAGCATACGAGGTTAGTGGTTAAATGTGAAGTACCGTGCCTGCTTGCGAGAGCCAAGAGATTGATGGGCATCTCGTGATAGGACTTGAAATTTACAAGGCAGCAATTCCATTGTTCTGCATGCCTGTTGCCTATTGCCTGCTAAATTTATACACGGAAATGATGTGGGGAGGAAATCCATCTTAATGGACTGTCAGAATGGCCCCTTCTGTTATCAAGGATCCACCAAATAATTCTAGATCGCTGTAATGACCTGCCGCAGCAGCTCAACAAGTGACGTGATTTCTTGCTCTGTCTGACATTAGTATTCCACTGTTAAAAGTTGATATAAACTGACCAGTATTGTAATGTAGCATGCTGATCCGCACAACTCCATCCTCAACGTCGTCCAAGCCTATGATGTCCTTGAGCAAGCGATGACTGTACATGTGGCCGCTGCGAAAGCCGAAAGGGCTTCTTTTCTCCACTTCTTCAACCAGCGCTTGGCTCTTGATGCCCTTTACGGTGAAGCTAATGACCGGAACTCGCAGATCTTTGTTCTCCGAAGGCTCGCCATGGATGGTTACACGGTCATTGCTTCTCAGAAAGTCCAGGAGAATCTTCTGCAGCTTCTCTTCGTACGTGGCAATTTCGTCCCATGTGGCGGAGAAATCCGACCCGAAGTATTCCAGGACACGTGGAATGCTTTGTGTCAGCTCATAGTTGGCGGAAGCCAGGTTCAGCTTTAGGTCGAGGGTTTCTGTGGATTTGAAGTAGTGACACAGAGGATTTATCTGGTCGTGGATACGCGACGCGGCATACAGCTGAGCTATGTGAGGACCGTATACTTTGTACCACGAAAATGCCTGTCGTCATTAGATACTGTTTGCCTACGCCAGGGGTTTACTTACGTAGAAGTCGACATCGAGGTCCTTAACGTCGACCTGGCGGTGGGGAGCAAGCGCAACCCCGTCAACGCAAAGAAGTGCCTAACTTGTATGAGAGATTGACTGGATATGATGCAAGGATGTCATACCCTAGGAGCCTGATGCACAACCTTGGCAATTTCCTTTACATCTGTGATGGTTCCTGTGATGTTGGAAGCATGCGGACAGGCGACAAGCCTGGTCTTCTCCGACATCAGCTGCTTCAAGTCACTAGGTTCGCAAACAGGATTGAGGGGGTCTGTAGCTCCCCACCACTTGACAGTGAGCCCCAAATGACGTGCAATCCTATCCCACGGGGCAGAATTGGCCTCATGGTTCAGCTTTGATACAATCAGCTCGTCTCCTGGCTGGAAGTCCAGAGCCGTGGAGAGGTTGTGCAGGAGCTGCGTTGTTGAGACACCCAGACAGATCTGCATGAATTAGCACTGCATACTGATGAGTATATTAGCCATACCTCCTCGGGCTTCGCGTTAATAAAGTTCGCCGCTGCTTCGTACCCGTGATCGTAAGCTGCAGTTGACAGTTTGGAAGTATTGTAGGTTGCGCCCAGTTGAACGTTGGTCTTTGAGAGGTATGATACCACACTGCATTTGATTAGAGAAATTCGCTAACAGAAAAGGGGGACTTACGATTCAATCACTGTGTCCAATACCTGGCTGCCTCCTATATGCTGTTGGCATCAATTCTCTCGCTTTCGATAATGGGGTAGGATGTACACCGACCTGCATTGTCCAGGAAAATCTGCTCCTGGTTCAAGGCGGGGAAGCGAGCACGAGCCTGAGAAATATCGAAAGACATGTTGAGTGGTACTGTTGGTTAGGGGATGCAATCTGAGAGCCAAATGAGGTGTTGTATGGGATGAACCGAGACGCATCGTGGCGGCCTGAGGGGGAGGGCAGCGAGAGGGGTAAGCTGCCATCTCCGCTCGCCCCATCTTAGCTTTATCGCAACTTCGGGCGAGTCCGAGTATCTACTAATTTCGCAACATCGGATCTAGTAAGTCGGTCAATCTCTAAATTATTGTTTATTCCTTGTCGCCTTTGGACAGATTCGAATTCTAGACCGCAGCACTCTTGGAGACAGAGATTCTGTGATAAACACAAGCTGCACCATCAACAATCAATATGGAGCAGAATATGGACAAGCTCTCCGATAGGCAAACCAAAAGCCTGATGATTCATTATGGCTAATAAAAACGTGCCTGGTAGCTCTGTTTGCATACCGCAGCGAGCCAATCTGACATTTCATGCACGCTTGAACCACGGTTCGATCGCAGAAGCTGTCGGATTGAGCCAGTGCTTGACGTCAGATTCGAGGCCTCATACTTTGCGCGATACTATAACCACTTATCTGGCGCAAATGGCATCCCCTGGAGCACCCCGCTATCCGACTCTTATCGAAGCTGGGCAGATAGTCTGTTCGGCGACGCATCCAATTATAGGGTGGTAGCTATCGCCAGCAGGGATGCTTATCATGCATGCATCGGCTTATCTGGCTGGAACAAATGGGCTGCAGATCGTGATTGTCGGGCTGCAGCTTTCTTTCTCTAGCATTTAGACAGCGCAGCTTGTGCGACCGCTCCCTTACATTCGATCTACCATATTGCTTTTTCGCTCCCGCTCTCCTATCGGATGACTTCAACCTCATCGACTCCATCTACCGCATCCCGGCGGCAACACATCTGATCATGAAGTTCAAACGGCCTCATCTTCGAGTGCCGCAGTCGCGCTCTGCTTTTGCGGATGGAAGCGCTCGCTGGACAAATCTCGATCTCGATCCGGTTCCTCTCCATCGTCGACAATGGGGACCGCTCAGCTTCATCTGTACGACCCCCCCTTTTTTTTTTGTTACTCTTGCTATGCTGATGGATGTACAGCGTATTGGATTTCCGATGCATTTAATGCAGCTACATGGCAGTTTGCTAGCAGTATAATAGCAGTCGGACTTAGCTGGCGCGAATCCCTCATAATCGTCGCTATTTCGTTCTTCATCATGTCTTTCGTCATTGCGGGCAACGGCGCTGTCGGCGCGATCTATCACATTCCGTTCCCGGTGATCTCACGGGCTAGCTGGGGATTCTGGGGATCATACGTTGCCATCGTCTCTCGCGTCATCTTGGCGCTGTTCTGGTTCGCAATTCAGAACGTCAACGGCGGAAACGCCGTGCGTGCCATGATCGGGGCCATCTGGCCCAGCTTCTTGAGGGTGAAGAACGAGATCCCTGAGGATCAGGGCATTACAACAAATGGCATGGTCGGATACTTTATCTTCTGGCTGTTTCAACTGCCGTTTCTCTGCATCCACCCGAACAAAGTGCGGTGGCTGTTCGTGGTGAAGTCTGTGCTTGTGCCGATCGCGTGGATTGCGATTCTGATCTGGGCATTTGTGGCAGAGGGAGGAGGTAAAATGTTCGAGCAGAAAGCGACAGTCTCGGGGTCACAGTACAGCTGGGTGTTCCTGGCGAGTATGACATCGGTTCTGGGGAACTATGCCACCCTCAGTGTCAACCAGGTATGTAGGCTAATGGAAGGCGATGCAATGACTAACAATCGTAGTCCGACTTTTCTCGATACTCGCGTGTTACGGCAAAGTGGCAGCTCCTATACGTCCCTATGCTGCCTATCGTGTTTACTTTTATCTCGTTCATCGGCATTGCCGCCTCCTCAGCCGGCTACGCCAGATATGGTGGATCAATTCCATGGGATCCGATCGAACTAATCAGCCACTGGTCCAGCCGGGCATGTCGGTTTTTCGCCGCATTTTCATTCGCTCTGGCTTCCCTCGGCGTCAACATATCCGCCAATTCGATATCCGCAGCAAACGATCTGATGGCCCTGTTTCCGGGACATGTCAATCTGCGCCGAGGCCAGATCATCTGCGGCATTTTGTCTTGGGCACTGGTGCCATGGAAGATTCTTGAGTCCGCGGACAGCTTTCTGAACTTCATGTCTGCGTATGCCATCTTCCTGGGACCGATTGCAGCCATCATGCTGTGGGACTTTTGGCTGTTGAAGCACGGAAAGTACGACACCCTGGCTCTGTACCAGCCGAACAACCCGGTGTATCGATACTCGAAATGGGGAGTGAACTGGCGCGCCATCGTGGCATTCATCGTCGGCGTGGTGCCGAGTCTGCCAGGACTGATCAACTCGGTCAACAGCAGTATTTCGGTGGGAGTGGGGCTCCACCCGTACCAGTTCGGATGGCTGCTAGGGTTCGTAGGGACCAGCGTGGTATATGTAGGGTTATCGTGGTTGTTTCCTGCCCGGCATGCCATCATTGAGAGGGCTGTGATGGCAGAAGAGATCTACGATGGACGGGAAGTTGACGCAGGATCCGAGGAACAGTTGGACAACATGCAAGAGAAGGCCAAAGTATAATAATACTTTTGATGTATACAGCCAGCAAGCAAATATCACTAAATCTAGAAACAATGCACCCCATAGCACACAATTTCAAAACCAAACCAAAAACGCCAGTAATCAGCACAACACAACACAAAACAACTGAAGACATCCAATTAACCCTCCCAATCCACCCCCCTAGCCTCCTTCAACACCTTACTCACAGCCGACGACGCCCGTCCAACCTCCCCGCCATCCTGCCTCGCACTCTCCAACCCGCGCTCAACAGGAAC